AAGGAATTAAGCACCAAGCTGGACTTTGGGGGATGCCACACCAGTGGAAAAATATTTGGGGACATAAAGGATCTTTGAAATCATTCCATATTCTGTCCCCCACAGACCATATTCATTAGCACTGTCAGAAAAATCACTTAGTCAGTACAAATAATAAATATCAAGAAATTATCAGTATGTGAAATTGAACTGACAGAGAAACTGGACAAAAATATGATGAATAAATAATAACTTTCTTCATATAGTATGATATATCTATATCTTGAAAATTCTTATATATGACTTCTCAATTCAAAATCTGTATGTATATATGTATATAAATACATAATATATGTATATAAACACATATTATATGTGTAAATTCTATATTATATATAAATTCTTCATTTACAAATTTTGTTAATTGGGCAAATTATATAACTGATTTTTTTGAGTAAGGGAGGTAACAATGATTTGTCATGATGCAAAAAAAGAATTAAATAATATAATGAATAAAAAAGAAATGTTATGATGTCTACACTATTATAATATGAATCATGATAGAAAATAAACACATATACAAACATCCACAAGTACAACAGTCCCCACCTTAACAAAGAAAATAAATCACTCAATGTCGTGCCTAGTTTTCCCTGGGAAAGTTTTCTTCTTTTTAGAGGTTTGTCTAAGTGCTTTTCATGTTCTGAATATGATCCATTGTTGTTCTACAAAGGTTATACCACACATGGCTTGCAATCTCATTCTCAGGAATTTTGTAACCATGTGTGTCCATCAGACCAAGGTGAAGAGTCTGCAGGTCTTTGAGACTGACTGTAAAATTGGTCTTTGTTTCTATGAAAAAAATTATGAAGGAATAATCTATATTTAAGCTCATTCTGTCTGACAGAACCTCTGAAAGACAGCTTTTGTAAAGATTAATAGTTTCATCTTGGCTTTGGTGAGAGAAGACTTGGCTCAGAATGATATTACCCACTAGTAGACTTCTGCATATTCCTGTTTCCTGGCAGAGTCCTTAAGTCTCAGTGGACAGTGCTAGCATGTGGAGCTAGATGTTAGTGTCAAACACAGATCTGTGACAAAGGCACGATGTCAAACCTGCCATCTACTGAAGGCTGTTGGCAGACCCTCGGGTATGTGGCAGTCTACTATTTTGGCATCTGACTTCCCTTATCATCAGCAGGACATCATCACGCTAGCAGCAGGTAGAGCTGGGTGTTGCCAACTTCCCCCACAAGAACCCATCTTTCTATTTAGGAAGACATTTTAACTGATGTACACCTCAAATATAATCCTCACAGATCTAAATAAACTAGGTTCCATCCTCTCTCTTACAACCTGGGAAAACAACCTGAAGTGCCTCCTAGTTCCTGTGAGAGCCCAGGGTTCAGACCTTCATGACACTACTGCCTCTTCAGTGTGGAGAAGGGTTTTCCTTTTTTTTTTTTTTTTTTTCCTGATTCATTCTATAAACGAAACTGAGCTTACTTTCAAACCCCTTCTTACAGCCAGTAACCTTAAACATTCTGGATATTCCACTGAATGTTTATACTCATGAGGGGGGTTACATCAGAGTTTAAATAATTTTATCTCCTCCTGAGACCTCAGCCTTCCTCTCTGTTTTCTGTGTGAAGCCTCTGAGGACTAACAAAGCTCAACAGTGAATCCTAGGAGTGCTCGCTCATTGCTTTCTGGCTAAATAAATTTACTTCTAAGAGTTTGAGATAGAACACTTATCAAGGTATACTGTGATTGCCTGATTCTTTTTATGCATTCCCCTCAAGTTGTGAACTCCATGGGAGTAAACACAACTGATGACTTTTCAACATTGTAGACATTGTGCCCATGGAGTGCACACTAGACACTCAGATGTGCCCTGAATTCATTGTTGGTGAGCAAATTGAGGCAAATGCAGATTTTTATCCATGTTGTATCTTCTGGGTTTAATCAAGACAGAAGAGTTAGTACTGTCCATTTCCAAGTACTTCTACTATACATATACATATATATATATATATATATATATACATATATGTATGTGCACAATAGATGCATATGCACAAAAATGCCCTTATATGTACAACAGACAAGATTTATGTAAGAATTCCTTCAAGAAAGGCCCCAAAATACCTTAGTTGAATCTTTGTATTATTTATTGCCTTTTAAAAATATTGGTTCAACAATTGCTATCTTGGAGACCTACACAGGCTCAAAGGTATAGAAAAACAATTTCAGGGAAATATTATTAACAATATATTTGGTTTGAGCAATAAATCATGAAAGAATTATTCAAGTATTATAATATGTTAAAATCATGTAGCAAAAATTCAATAATAACTTCTCAATGACATATTTTATGGCTTTAAGTGGCTTCAATATTTACAACTAAAATATTTTTAAATTACTTAAATAAATATTCATTTTTTTTTCTGGGAAAGAATTAAAAGGTCTATTTTCCAGAATGCTGCATGCATTTTAAACTAGCCAAAAATATATTTGATGATTATTGAAAATATTTCCTGTTAATCCTGTATGATGTTCTGCTTGGTAAATATGCATTTATATATGTACAAACAGAAATAGCAGACATGATTTAAGTTTCATGTAATTCGGCTAAAAATGTGCAGCATAGTGTGCCTTGAACATGAGTCGCGCTTCTTTGTTTCTGATACACTATGCATGTGCTCCTCTGTTGAAGCATGAAAGATGTCTTGCTTTTTATGTACAGTTTTTTTTACACTTACAAACAAGGCTGACCAACACAGCATACATATAGTGTGATAGATTAAAAGCTTTCATATAAGCTCTTACTGTTTTAGTTTATAAAATTCTGCTGTAGAAGCGGAGTGAAGAACAGATATTCTGGTCTCATTTTAAATACTAGCATTTTGAGATGAATTTTAAGATGGTAGGTACCTCCGTGAATGCAGTCCTATTGTGCTTTTCTGTTTAAAGAGTGTAGCATGTGGCTGTGATCGTTTCTTCCTGAAGGAGCTTTGTGTACATTTAGCCTTTTGCTGGGGAAGATAAATGAGCTCACTTCAGGGTAGGCACTATAGGCAGATGGTTGAAATTCAGGAAAGTGGTTATATGCATTCAATGGAGTGTTTCTGACAGTCCGTTTCTGCATGGGTAGCCTCAAAGGGAGTGGATGAATGGGAACTGAAAAAAAAAGGTTGTTTATGGAGAGGAAATGAAAGGGATTAGCTTCTATTCAGGCCAGGAAGGTGACCCAGATTTCCCATACTAGAATGTATACATGGATGGGTATGTCTGAAAAAAACAGAGAAAAAAGTCTTGGCTCTACGGTCTGATTTTAGTTTCCAGCTGGTTGACATCTATTCTTTCGGAAGAAGTTTTCTGATCTCGAAAGAGGCTTCTGTTTAATGCGGGTCCCAGGTGCTGGCTTGTCACATCATCAGATGGTCACACAGAGCTCCCCAGCCTTGGTTACTCAGCACCCCAACCTCTGTAGGCCTCTTCCCAGGCCTTCAAGTTTAAATAAACAAGCAGTCAGTCTGGGGTTCACTGTGATCCTCACTCAGAGTAACTATTTCTCTTTAGGAAACTGAAAAATAACCCTATGTACCCTCCAAATTAAAAAAAAAAAAAAAAGCAGTGATCCCGCAGAGACTCTCTTTATAAAGAGAAATCAGTGGCTGAGAAAAGAGTAATAGGATAAAAAACTAAAAATTCCTATGATTGTGCAATACTGATTGTGATTTGGGTTCTGTCATTCTGTCTGTATTCTTCTGTGTCTTTGCACATCACATGTGTGTGTACATGTGCATACATGTCTTCCTATCTTACCTGAGCAAACAGGCTTATAATTTGTAAGAGGTTCCCAGCACTGCAGATCAGAAAAAACAAACAAACAAACAAACAAAAACAAAAAACAAAAAAAACTCTTCTATGGTTGATCATTACTATTTTCTTAATAAAGATATTTAAAAATAATTCATTTGTCCAGTTGTGGCTTAAAAACAGCAGCATGGTAATTATTGGTGTCTCAGATGCTCTAAATGCTTTTTGACAATGGATCTGTCAGCACCTTCTTTACAATATAAAGAGTGAACAAGGCATACTAATATTTTGGGAATCCATGAGCTCAAGGTCCAGGAACTGACAGATGACATTAACCCACTGTTAACACTTAAACAGCCTACATTATGTAGTGGTGGGTTAAGCATCATAAGAATAATCATGGATGTAAATAAAGAAAGACATTCAGAGGCCTGCCCAGGGCTTCAGAACCAGGCAAACATGTTAGTTATCTTTATTCAACGATCCATAGACATATATACTCAGTATTTCCTGTACTGAAAATGTGGTAATTTTCTGCCTTCCTTCTCTAAGGAAATATCAAAGTGATCTCTTCAGGTGTGAATATCAGAAATTCAAAGGCTTTTTATAATTTTGTGGCCTGTGCTTATGGTAACATGCAAGAATTAATTGCCAAATTCCATGTCATGATTCTTTTCCATGTGGCTTTTGCTTTTTGTTTATTTGGTTAGATATATTTATTTTATTTTTATGTGTAGAATGTTTTGCTTGCACGTATGTATGTGCACCATATGTGTGCCTGATGCTTATAGAGGTCAGAAGAGGGCATCAGATCCTCTGGAATTGTAGTTACAGATAGTTGTGAGCCATCATGAGGGTGCTGGAAAAAAGAATGTAAGTCTTCTAGAAGAACAGATGCTCTTAACCACCGAGCATCTCTCTAGCTCGGCTGGCCTGTCACTCCTGACATAGATCAGATAGGACTCAAACTCACAGAGACCCACCTGCCTCTGTATGTCACCACAACCAGCATTACTTGTGTTTTATTCTAAGACAGTTATAGATTTCACTATCAACCCTGTTATATTCTTTGCTTTTTTCATACGTTATTTAAACAATGTATCAGTTACTTAGAGCGTCTTTTTTCAAAATTTCAAATTCAATCACGGCTTTTCTGTGGAAAACACATAAATGAAACTTTTTCCTTTGTTTTTCAGAAGATGCTTACAAAACCCAGGTGCGGATTGACAATGAGCCTGCTTATTTAGACATCTTGGACACTGCCGGTCAGGTAGACGATGTTTGTTTTTGTTTTAAATAATATTTGTTCTATTTTTGGAAGTACAATATACTTACATCATTTTCCTTTTCTTCCCTTCATCTCCTCCCATATAATCTTCCCCAGCTCTCTCTCAGATTCATGGCTTCTTTTTCTTTAATTGTTGTTTAGATGATATGTTTAAGAGACCTGACCAATCTCAGATAATTTCATGTTTAACTTCATGCACACTGACCATAAAATAGATAGCTTTAATACTTCAAACAGGAGAATAAATTTGTAATATCAACAGAAGATTGAAGATGAAAAAGAATCGATTTGAAAAGGTGAGTCATATTTAAAACTCTCCTTGGTGGTCTAAGTATTAATTTACACATTCCAATACTGCATTGGCAATGAAATTATAAAGTTAAGAAAATAGCTTATTATTCTTACACAAATGTAGAAATTCTATTTAGAAGCAGGAGAGAGGAGTGAAAATTATGTAAATACAGTGTGTTAATGTATATAATTCTCAAAAAATAAAAAATGAACAAAGTAAACAGAATAAAAGTATTCTAGAATATTTATGAGAAAAAATATGAAGCAATACGTCACAGATATGCATGTCAAAGTTCTTGCTGTGTAGGAGGGTGGATGCATTGTTTAACTTCACACTCTTCAGATGATTGTTAAAATAAACCCGTGTATTAAGTGCCAAGTGCAATCCAAAAATTTGAAAATAAGCAGAGTAATGAGGGAAGACTATGAAGAAGTTTTTAATATGATATGACATACAAAAAATAAAAAACTGAAAAATTAGGTAAGAAATCCATGTGGATATTAAGTACTTATATTCATATAAACAAACCGGAAATCACAATGAATGGAAATATATCTGCTTGTGCTGGAACAGGCAGCAACCATCAGTGGCATATTAAGTAGAAGCAAGGCTCACTGTATTTGTTGAGAAGGAAGAGATAAGGAAGAAGTGAAGCAGGACTCAGTGGTAGTCCACTTGTCAAGAGTGCAAGTGCAAGTCCATGCTTCCCCCTCTACACATACGCAAAAGGGAATATTAAGTAAACCTTGTAACAACATCAGAGGAAAGATATTTCATTTCAAAGCAATTTTAGCTAAAAAAAATTGACATTCTGTAGTAGTAAAAAGAAGCAAGCATCTTTAAAATTCTAATTTTAATATTAAGGCCAAATGGTGAGCCAGATTTAAAGAGAACTTTATAAAATCGTAAAAATTCTGGATTACAGCAGAAATAATTAGGGTTTAAACTCCATTATGGACACAATTGTTTTCCTTCTATTATTGTTTTTGAACTTAAAGATTTAAAACTTAAATGTAGGAGTTAGAGAGCTATGTTTGATCCCAGCACCAAAAAAAAAAATTAAAACAAGTTTAATTTTTCATCTCTTACGTGTAGCTACTTATGAATGACTGCAGAAATTAGGGTGTTGATAGTGAGTAATTCACTAGAATTGACAATCAATTTCTGTATTATGAATTGTATGCTAACAAACTCATTTGTTTCTAGGAACTTTGGACGATGAACTAATGGGGAAATTTCTAAAGACTTTGGGGACATTAAAATGGAAATTTCTCTCAATTATTCAAAAGAACATTTTTATGTAGGACAAAATATAATAATTTCCAGGAGAACTGAAAGCCTAGTTTGAGAAAAATAGAGTAGGCTAAATAAAGAAATGAGACATTTTCAATTATAATAATCTTTAACCACTGAAACAGTTACCTTGATAAACCAACATGACATAACTAAAAATTTCCATAAAAATGTTTTATGGAATGCAAATCCTTCATTCGTTGAATGAAAAGGTTGTTTCTCTTCTCCACTGGTCATAGACTTGGTTATGTCCCCATTGATGATACTGTTTTACTGGAGGATCAGTTCGTCTGTGGAGTTTGTAGGGGTGGTCTGCAGTTTCCCCAAGAGAAGAGCAAGTTTTAGATGGCCTCTGGTCTACAGAAAAGAAGTAACCAGGGAGTAGACCTAAACCTATGAGCAGTGTCAATCAGATCTGGCTTCACGCAGATCTGTTCTCATTGCTACACAAACTTGTGATCTAGAAAATCATAACATTATTGCTTCATGCTTTGTTTTATGCTGCTATTATGCATCTGATCAGAAAAACATATTAATGGAGTATGTTTTGTTAAGTATAGATGGAGATAGAGAACAGTACCAATCCATGGACAAAGTGTTGAGCAACGAAACATAAATCTGAAACTTTGTGATAATACTGAGAAACCTGGAGTATACAATTTAATAGATGAGGGTGTTAAATTTATACACCATTACTTACTTGTCAAGCCAGGTATTAACTGTAGCCAAACATAGTCAGGAATACATAAAGGTAAACAGATGGTGATATGTTAGCTTTTACACTATTATCAAACCTGCTTACACAGGAGGTGGTCTTTGCAGCTGATTTAACAGAAATTATATCTCTGTAGGGGACATGTGAGAACACTACTGAAGTATTAATAATGATGTATTGTTTGATTTTTATAACGTTAATTTCCATGTTTGTGGAAATTCATTAATTGTACAATAAACCTAGAAGAGAGATAGAAAAGCTGTTGTTGATGTTATCACCTGGAATTCAAGTATCATGGCATGCAAACAAGTGAAGTGGCTGTCCTCTTAGAGGTAACATTAAAGGCCACACCCAGTCTATTTTGTATTCATGTCTATAGAGAAGAAAAAAGGACAATTCCTTTTCCACCTGTTGCAAGTCTTATGGAGGACACTATGACAGAATACACAGACTAACAAGAGAGGTTGAACATATTTAATTAACCCAGGTATTGTGTACATAAAAGCTTCACAGAAAGAAGATATATCTGCATATTCAGGGAAACATTGAATTCTTAAGCTTAGATTTGTTGAGAAATAGACAGCTGTGCCAAAATTGCTTGTGTACAAAGAGGGCAGAAGTTAAACAGAGGTAAAGAAACTAGGTTTGCTTGCTTATGTTCCTTCTGGCCTCTCCTGGCCCACATTTCTTTCTCCTGTGGTTAGGCAGGATATGTGTCATGTATAGGTCTTCCAGTGACAGTGGGCTGGGACAGTGAGATGGCTCATCAGGCAAAAGTGCAGAAGAACCCTCATGGTGGAAAGAAAACTGCTTCCTGCAAGTTATCTTCTGATCCCAAAGTGTCTGCCACAACATAGGCAACCCACCTCCCCCAAATAAATGAATAAGTAAGTGCAATAAAATACTTTTAAATAAAAGAGTAGGCAAAAGAAGGTCAAACAAACTATTCTATTTCTGTAGTTTTGGCAATTTCTGAAATGCCATGCTTGGGCATAGCATGCCCTGCTCCTCCTCTTATGCTGTACAGGTAGCCTAGAAACTCCATGGAAATTTTATGGAGGAAAGTGGGGTATAGTGAGAAATCCAAGGGAGTCTGCTTAAGAGTAATAAGGAATTTATTAGGACATAAATTGGAAGAGACAACTCACTAAACAGACTAGGCAAATCATCTAAGGGTTCTGGAAAGCTGAGGTCCTGTCCCATGCTGCTCCTGCCCCCTGAGTCAGTCCACACTATCCAAGCACACCAGGGAGAGAAGAGAGCAGAGCACCTGCCTCTCAGGTCTTAAGGGTTGCCCCGAGGCCATGCCCCAGAGGCTGGCACTTCAAGGTCATAGGTAGAACAGGTATTCACTACAGTGGGGGCATCACCACATCTCAAATTAAGGAGGATTTTTAACCTGTCCTTCCAGGGTTTGAATTAGTATTTCAATGCTCAATTCTCCCATAGATGCTCATGAAATGTATATTTAACTTCTCCCCTTTTTAGGAATTATATTTCCAAAAGCAGCCAGTCAATAGACAACTATAATGACTAGAAGGGGTTTTCTAGCCACAAATTAAAACATTCTTGTCTATAGCTTTAAATGGGCTGTAGGTGCATCTCTTGAAAAAAAATTACATATTTTGTAAATGTGCTGTTTGAAGGCCAAGGAGGATATGTGCTTTGTGAAAGTTGTGCACTGATTTGAAGGCCACTTCAGACTCAGACAACCACACAAATCCTTTTATTTTACTCCTTTTATGCAACATCATAGTGTGTGCCAAGGACTTCCTCAACAAAAAACAAACAAATGCAGGATGTAATAAAAGGGGTGTCTGTCCTCAAACACCCCGAGGTTTGGAGCAGCGGGGATGCCATATCAGAAAAGGTAGCCAATTGTGAGAAAGACTGTGGTGGATTTATACAAGTCTTGCCAATGGGCTTTCTGAAATTCCTACAATGTCTCAGTCAAAAACAGGAGAGCCACACATGGTTTCAAAGGAAAGTCTAATTAAATGTGTGAAGTTTAACTTAACCATAAATTTCTTGAATCATGTTTATCCTTATAAGAAATAATGGAAATAGTTCTCTAATACCTTTGATACCTTTACATTTATTAATATGCTATTATATTCAGTAACTGAAACTATTAATAAGAAACAAGACTTGGAAATGTGCTGTGGATATCATTCTGTATAAACAAAACACTGATTGGCCAGTGGTCAGACAGGAAGTATAGGCGGGACAAGGAGAGAGGAGAATTCTGGGAAGTGGAAGGCTGAGTCAGAGAGACACTGCCAGCCGCCGCCATGACAAACAGCATGTGAAGATGCCAGTAAGCCACGAGCCACGTGGCAAGGTATAGATTTATAGAAATGGATTAATTTAAGATGTAAGAACAGTTAGCAAGAAGCCTGGTACGGCCATACAGTTTGTAAGTAATATAAGTCTCTGTGTTTACTTGGTTGGGTCTGAGCGGCTATGGGACTGGCGGGTGAGAGAGATTTGTCCTGACTGTAGGCCAGGCAGGAAAACTCTAGCTACAGGAATGACCACGCACTTGGCTACTGGAGGGGCTCTATTACTGTAGAGTGAAAGGATATGCAGATTTATCTGGTTTACCCCTAACCAGCTCTGCAGTCAGAGGAGGCCTCTAGCCAATGTGAACCCAGTTTACCACTCTGAAACTTGAGAACTAGA